GAACCATGTCGGTTCTCATGCTGACACGGAGGAGGAGAATGAGTGTGATGAGTGTCAACCTTGACAGTAACTCTGCTCAGGTGAGCGAATGAGAACTGCTCATTCAGGCGTGCCACAGACGAGGATGGGTCTGAAGTGAGTTCGACTGTGACGTGCAATCAACCGTTCACGTGTAAGTGCCGAGACAATTTTGGAGCATGATTGAATCTATGCAACAAATTTCGCGCTGATCCAGTGGAATGCTCTTTATCACAGCTAAACACCTGTTAGGCTATAGTGTAAGTTTTAATATGAGCAACATAGATACGCATACACATTAGATAATAATAAACACTACTTCAAAATCAATAATATTCATATCATTTAGAGTAATCCCAAAACAAATACATGTCCCGTTTAACAAACCTTTCATCACAACTCAGCGAGCACTTTGACACTTTGGTATTTCACTTCCGTGAAATAAACATATCTGTCATGCGTAGAAAGCAACTCACATTCATTTCACCGAACAAAACTTGTCCATGCTTGTAGTCGTTGTACGGACCGTTTTTGTGACTGACCAGAATGCCATCGGCCGTGCGCAGCAGAGTCGACTCGACCGATTTGCAAGTGACCTGTTCGGGAACTTGAAGCTGAGATCCGACTGAGTGCAGTGCTTCCGCATATCGATCCACGACGCTTTTACTCAGTTGCCGATGAAGCTAGATACCAGGGAGACACACATGGATTGAGACGGGATAAACAAATATCAACCATTCCTGAGTGATTGAGTGAATCATAATAGTGACCAACTGATTTCTCCTATGTAAACATAATGAAAAAATTATTAGTTAAAGTTGTGCGCATGTCCGCTTAAAGTGACCCAATTTATTTGTTTCATTATTCGTGATGTCCATTCATATTGATTCCACATCAAGTGGGTTAATCCTATTACCACGAAGCACAAAATTCATTAAACGAGGGAAAAAAGACCACGGATGAAAATATCAGAGCATTATAATGAAACGTATGCTCATCCAATATCCATTGGGTTGTGTTCGAGGCTGGAAGGATACGAAGGACAATCATCAAAACTGTTCACTTATAGTCCACAAAAATAATTACGGCGAGACATCATTTTTCGAAAGGCGAAAGATCTTTAATTCACGATCAAACTGAACTAGGCTATCCACTTTCGACGGTGTCCCTAGAAAGAACTCAAAGGTTGACAAACTTTCTTCTGGGTAGGCGTATATTTGAAGAAGTCTATTTTGACCAAACCAGTCAAAAAATCGATAATTCTGAACCGCAAGTAATACAAGGATGAAATTACGTAGGACTCCGGAGCATAATTGTACCTGTTGTTGTTGGATATTAGATGTACTAAAATATTAACACCAAATATGTTGTTTTATGGATTGAGTCATATTAATGAAAATCGGGAATAACTTATTTCCAGTCAACCAGTTTGCTCAACTTTCTGTTTCAGTTAGATCGCTAACCAAATTTGGTGATATTTTCGGTTATTTTTATTATTTTTATTTATTATTATTATTATTATTTATTTTTATCTATTCCCGGTTAGTATACACTTGATAGAAAAGAAATTGGTGTGAACAATTTGCCCAAGTTTATTCTGTATTTTGATTCCTTTCACCTTCTATCACCTTCCAAACTGAATAGTAATCTGGAAGCCAGGAGTTGCTTAGTTCTATTGTTTCACCAGACAACTCTACCAAAACCGGAGAATAACATCTTCATTCAATACAGTTTAGAGTAAGCGAACTGAAAGTAAATTTGATTGCTCAATTAATGTTCCCGTTTATGCAGTGAAGTTGTATTTCTGTGGTGTGGCGCGCTATGATAGGCCCCATCTGTGTAGATTGTATGGAAATTCTGAGGAGTCCGTTTGTTCGTGCACAGGGTAAATGCTGTGTGAACTGAAAAGTTAAGAAGCACCAGACAGCTCTTTTGAAATATTTGAATTTTGTCCACGGTGGAAATCAATCGATTCAATCGTGGTTCAAACAAGGGAGCTCACAGGCGTAACATAAGCATACGCGATAACCACTTGATCACTGGGCAGTTCAGGAGACTTCAGGAAATTTCCAAATTGGTCTAATTGTCACTTGAGTTATGTGCTTTTCTAGTCTGATATAGGTCAGATCAACAACGAAATGATGGAAGCAATACGATGTGTTAATAAGATTTCTTAATTTGAAAGTACTAACATTATTCAGGTAGATATATGACTCAGGTAATATGAACAACAAGCTCTGATTTGGGGTATAGACTAGTCAATCATAAAGGCCTCTAGATTGATAGAAGTTGCATTTAATCGTGTATTTTGGATAGAGGGCGGCAGGGAGGGAACGAAAATCTCTATGCCACCTGAAAGGAGCAATTATGCCCAGGTCCAAACGTTTAATTCTAAAACTCGGTGCTTACCGCTGATCACGTTCCAAAGAGCTTGACTATCCCTTTTCGCTAAGTTTTCAGTGTGAAGAGGAGGGTGAAATCTGATGCACAAAATGATATGCCTGCCATCATGAAAGATAGCCGCTGATTAAACATCGGTTACAGAAAAGGCATTGTGCTTACCATTCTAGATTATATGAGTATCCATGAGATCAGACTAGTGTATCCAGATTTTTGGAGGAGCTTTGGTTATTTAGGGCCAATTTTTTTAAGAGCCCTTAAGAAAGAGTGTTCATCGAATCGTTCTTAACTGCAGCTTTCATTAATACAGACATTTTCACTGGTCTCACGCACGATGCAAGTAGTGTAAATCACACGCATCTTAACGTTACGAAATCATTTATATACTACCAATACTAGGTAATATCTGGCCTCAATTAACCTAACGTTTTCTCCTCAGCATCAGCAGAAAACACCCAGGACAACTAATTCATAAAAACCTATAAAAATGACCCATGTACAAATCCTTCGGGGCACATTTTTTAATGAATCATCCACTGGTCGATAGCAATGCTAATTAGGCTTTTCACCGTTTTGTGTTTTTCGATAAAATAACGCGATGAGCATATCAATCAGAATAATTCAGCTCGCAAAGCAGAACTAACCATCTTGTTAATCGATCGAACAAACACGGCTTCAATTTGATCTCCCCCTCGCAGAGATAAAACATTTTGGGGTTCACATGTTACGGCCTAACCTCATTATCTTGACATCCATCGTCCCACTCGCCGTTAGATATCGGTAACTTTTGGCCAGGAGGAAACCAATTCGAAAACGTACACACTTAATCCTATCCAATTGTCACCGCCAAGCAAATGAATCACTGAGAACTACTTTTCCACACGTTTCTGTGCCCTAAGGAACATACAGGATTTAAATTCCCCCCCCGGCCCCCCCCCCGTCGTTTACT